GGACTTTTGCCGTCATAAAAATCCAACTACGTACTATCCTCAGTCTTTAATCTCACTAATGTTGTCAATTTACCTAATCTATAAGATCCTACATGGAAGTCACTGACTCGCCCTATCGGGTTAATCAGCAGTATGATGATGAGCACTTCTGAGAAGTACAATAATATGTTTGATGTTAAAATGATTACGTTTCGTAGTGGCCATGTCTGAGAGACTGAGCCATGCTAATTCGATGCTGTGTTGCCACGTTCACTATTTACTTGTAACATGGAAGTAGTATTGACAGTGTATTTCAACAAGGTGTGCAACATGGAGCTTAAGTTAAAACATTTATACGTACCGCAAAGGAAAAAGAGTCTAATATCACAAAACAAGGGGGGTTGGCGTTACTGATCAGCAAACATGATGCTGGGAAGATAACCTTATTCCATCCATGTCTGCATAACAGGACATTTCGTTAAATTACGGCTACTAATGATCTAGAGGGTTGTATTGATGCTAATTTCTTATAACAAACACTTCCTTGACTCATTTTGTGACCCCGAATTGGTTTCACTTTCTACCGAGGAATCTTGGTGCGAAAAAAACTGGACAATTACGCTAAACATGAGTGGAATCATGACTACAAAAGTTATAGCAATAAAAACGAGTTATAATAAATATGACGAAAAAAGCCAGTTGGTATAAGAACACTACTAAATTTCAAGAATACACATAATTCTAAACTTTCAAACCTTATAAAACCCTTCCATTTGTACATTATTTTATTTATTCAGCGCCATACTGTGGCTTTTTTTCTTTAACCTAATGAAATATACTTGTTTAGAAATTGACCTAATAAAAGAGAATGAGTCTTAGTAGTCATACTTTAATTATCTTATCACAAATGACCAAGCTTCACTGATCATGAACATTGTCCGTCCTGCTTCTTACCTTTCTGTTCTCTTTCTTTCTCGGAACACTCAAGGTATACCACCGAAAACATTTGTGGGACATTCGACATCGTACTGTGCCATCACTTATGACTCTGGAATTTATCTGGGATCACGATCGTGATGCACAAACTGATACGTTTGAGTTGACGTTTACGTCTGACTACACGCAACTTTATTTCCATTCATTCTCGACAACCGATTGCTTGTCGCAACTTAATCCGCACAAAGCATACCAACTTCCATAGTAAACATTAGAGTCACACCAAAATTATTATTCGTATGTATGAAAATTTATCCTCTGTTTATGTTACCCAATAGCCTATGCTATATACACATAATTGAGCAACCGAATAAAGCACTTGTAAAATCTTGATCTTACCTGTAAACTGACATGCCTCAAATAACATATTGTCATTTGAGAATTTATTATTATTTACCTTCTCTAAGTGTTACATGTTGAATGCGAATTTTCTCAGTTATCTTACGTTTCGCTCCTAGAATCGTGTGCCCAGAATCAATAACACTACAATAATAAAAAAATTATTAATAATTTCGACGAAAAGCAAGCAATTTGTGTACCGAAACGCCTCGATTTCCTTAATAAATCTTAAAAATACACATAGTCCTGAACATTCGGCCCTTTCGAGTCACCCCCATATATGCAGTCCTTTGTTTGTCCAACGCAATGCTTTGGCTTTTTACTTTAACTTGTTGAAATATTACTTACTCACTTACTCACGCCTGTTACCCTTCGTAAAGGAGAATAGGCCGCTCACCAGCACTCTCCATCCAACCCTGTCCTCAACAATTCTTTCCAGCTTTTTCCAGTTTTTATTCATCCTTTTCATATCCGCTTCTATTTCCCGACGTAATGTGTTCTTCGGCCTTCCTCTTTTACTCTTCCCTCCAGGATTTCAAGTTAGGGCTTGGTGATTTATGTAATTTCCTATCCGTTTCCAACGTCTTTTCCTAATTTCTTGCTCAGATGGAAGCTGGTTTGTTCTCGTTCACAGTAGACTGTTACTGATGGCATCCGGCCAACGGATGTTTAGTATTTTGCGTAGACGATTATTTACAAATACTTGTGCCTTCTTGATGATGGTTGTAGTAGTTCTCCACGTTTCAGCTCCGTACAGTACGACTAACTGCCTCGACGTCCGTATTGAAGATTGTGACTTTGATATTGGTTGATAGTTGTTTTGAGTTTCATATATTCTTCAGTTGTAGGAATTCGGCCCTTGATTTACCAATCCTAGCCTTAACGTCTGCATCTGATCCTCCTTGTTTATCGATGATGCTTCCCAGGCACGTGAAGGGTTCCACATCTTCCACAGCTTCTCCATCAAGTGTGATTGTGTTGATGTTCTCTGTGTTGTATTTGTGGATCTTGTTTTTTCCTTTGTGCATGTTGAAGCCTATTGATGCAGAGACTGCTGCTACACTGGCTGTCTTTATCTGCATTTGTTCATGTGTATGGGACAGAAGGGCTGGGTCATCTGTGAAGTCCAAATCGCCCAACTGATTCGGAGATATCCACTGTATTCCGTGCTTTCCCTCAGATGTCGAGATTTCCATAATCCAGTAAACCACCAAAAGACGAATGGATAGGGTAGACAGCCTTGACAATCTTCTCTGGAACTCCGTAGTGTCGAAGAAGTTTCCATAACGTTCTCCTATCTAGACTGTCAAATGCCTTTTCGTAATCAATGAAATTGATGTATAGTGACGAGTTCTGCTCAACTGATTCTTCGGCTATAATCTGTATTGTCGCAATTCGGTCTGTGCACGACCGATTTTCACGGAGTCCAGCCTGTTGATCTTGAAGTTTGGCGTCTACTACATCTTTCATCCAGTTCAGCAACACTGTTGAAAACTTCCCAAGCTTTGATGATCCTGGGTCCATGAGATTCCCATCGTATATGTGCAACTCCGTGAGTGTGTGGAGTACAGCAGCATCTCTCCCATACCTAACCTTTACTGTCCAGCTTGTCTAATGGATTTTGCTGGTTCCGTGAGCCACTGAGTTGTATCTTCGTTTTCACTGCTATTTGGCTTGTACATATACGGTGAATAACAGTGAGCTACCTGTTGTCTAGACACGTGATGACTTTGGAGTCGTCAACAACCGACTTAATAACTACTATACGCTACCATGCGATAGCCGTCAAAGGTGTTGGAACCCTATGGTCAATATCTAGGGTCTTTAGCCATGTCAACGCTAGAGTGTTCATGCTTCTTAAACCCATGTACTGCATACAAAGGGCTAGCTCTTGACTAAAAAAGGACAGTGAACTTTTGGAAGATAATCAGAGAACCATAACTAAACTGATATCCGGAATAGAAAAGCTCCCGTATGATGACAGACTGGTTAAATTAAACCTATTTTTATTGTCATATTGAAGATTCAGAGGGGACTTGATCACAGTTTTCAAATTACTTAGTGATAAATTTGAATCTGGTGCGCCTTCATTTTTCTCGTCTTCTAAAATGGAGAATTTACGATGGAAATCTAAAAAAGTTCACAAGTTCAGAACAAATTACGTGTTAGGTGACTATCGACTTTACCATTGAATCATCAACGAATTGAATTCATTGCCACATGTGATTGAAGGTCCATCTGTCGATGCTTTCAAAAGTAAGTTTGATCAACTGAGAGACCACCATTGCAAGGACTAACATAGCTCACCTAGCCTTCTATCCCTTCCAAACTGGAACTGTATATTGAACCGAGTACATAAAATATTAGACATTGGATATCGAGTGAGTGCTGCTTAATGACCTTCGCCCCTCACCTAGACGACCATACGGACCTGGCGCCACACACCCTTTACAGAAAAAAGGTAGGTTTTAAGTTATCATTTTCTTGCTCCTCTTAAATCCTCTTTACGAGCCAGTAATGCGTAAGTACTGGCTTCCACTCATGATTTTAATGTGCTTGTTTGTCTACCCAATTCAATCACAAGCTTGTGTCATATGACATCACGAGGATTTTGTAATTACTAGAGTAATTTACATGTTCCGCAAGCAAATTATTGCTGTTTATATGTAAATAGTGCGTACTTGTGGACATTCATAAAATGAGGGGGAAAACATTTGCATACGGAATAATTGGAGGTCTAATATGTGTGTTTCTACATTTATTCATGTATGTGTATATTAGAAAGTGAGTAGGCACAGTCAGGCCTTGACCTTATAGGCTAGCAAACAACTCAGGACAAACGTATCTTACAATCATTCACATTTTAGAATGAACTTCAACCGTGCCTCTTCCATGTAAAATATTTTGTGTAAGTATTTCGCTCGCTTATATTACTTACTTACTTACGCCTGTTACTCCTCGTGAAGGAGCATAGGCCATTTGCCAGCATTCTCCATCCAACCCTGTCCTGGGCAATCCTTTCCAGCTCTTTCCAGTTGTTATTCATCCTTTTCATATCTGCTTCTATTTCTCGACATAATGTGTTCTTAGGCCTTCCTCTTTTCCGTTTCCCTTCAGGATTCCAAGTTAGTGCTTGTCTCGTGATGCAGTTTGACGATTTGCGTAGTATATATATATATATATAACTCATTTCCACTGAACAGTAATTTTTTCTACTGAAACCCCTTCATCAATCGTTTGGCTATATGGAACATAAAACCTGGCATATCTGTATACCTGTCCAAGCTGCCACACTACATCACAGCGATATGCTATAGTGGTGAGAGTAGTACTAGTATCGGTGCTGATAGTAGAAAGTGTGATTCAAGAAAACGAACTTGGGAAATCATGCTTACATTAGGTGGCCGTTTAACAGATCCGATGACTTCACAAAACACTGAGTCTCATAATCAGCATAAGTATTTAAAGTTTATTCTTTTAATTAGACATTCAGTCTGTTTTTATTTTTCTAACTATTTATTACAGATTAAAGTTATCAAACTGTGCATACAATCAGGTAGAATGAATTCACGCTATAAATAATGATAGTTTACACGCAAGATCACATATTTGATTCCTGCAAATAATCCAAATTGGTTTTGAGAATCCTAGTCTGTGGATCACTTTTAAAGAAATTATCTCTAAACATGTTAACAAGTTATATGAATACAAGAAAGCCAACAGTATTTAATTGTCGAATCAGTAGCAGTAGTAGTAACAGTAATGAAGATAAAAGTCTTGATAATAACTGTAGTAACCATTCAGCAACAAATATTATGGCACAGTTTGTGTGTAGTCGGTCGAAATCTATTCAACATGCCAGTAATAACAATACTGGTACCACTTCTATTAATACTAATACTACTGCTACTCCTAATAATTCTAATCATAACAGTGTCGTCGGAGATGGTATGAACAAATTTAATAACACTTTAAATAATCATGTCCTGATGTCAGACCCATTTGTTGACACTACCACTTCTACTACTCACACTATTAATCATATTAATAAGGACTTTGGCATAAAAAACATTTTAACGGAGCGGAATATATTTGATAAATTTTTAAGTTGTTTTCGCCCATTTATTTATCTTATCCAAAAACAGAAGTCCTTTCCCTCATCAGATCAAGGTGATTTTCAATTGGTTTATTTTTTATAAACTCAAATCTTACTATCTTTCTATGTTATTTCGTGTTATAGTTCAATAATATGGGTAGTCAATTTAAAACATAATAGGTTTACGAACTTGTTAACTCAGAAATACAATGTCTTATGTCTCGGCGATAACTATCTACCTGATTATCGAGATTTTATTGCTTATTAACATGAGTTGTGACAGGTGGTTTGAAAAGTTCCATGTAACACTGAATAAAAAATAGAATAATTCACACAGCACAACGTAAGTGTTGCATGATACGGTGGGTTAATCAGACGTCGCCAAATGAGAATGTCACGTTACCCCAATCAAAAATTTAATGATATGTGCATGTTTTTGGTCAAGAAATGGTTTCGTTTCCTAAGAAGTATATATATATATATATATATATATATGTGCTTATGCAATTGATTAGATTTAACCCAATTAACTTCCTTCTCCGCTCGTAGTCTTTTCACTCAGTAGTCCCTTTGGGGCTTGCGTATAGAAATCTTATATATCAGCATCAAACTCGGACATCGTGCGTTATAACGTTGCATATGGACATATACGGTTTGTTTTAGTTTATGATTCATTTTCTAATTATTCATCAGGGTTTATTTCAGTAGTCGAGAAACAGTAACTTTACATCAAAGTTAGATACTCAAGTGACTGTATTTTGTACGTTTACTAGTTAGTTAGGTGTAAATTAAACATAAAATTTAATAATAATCCAATATATATCCCGATTAGTGAAGCACTCCTAATTGTTCTTAAAACTTTGTTCGCTCTTTTACAATACCATTTACACACAAAACTTCATTAAATAATGATTATTAAACAAATTTTTGAGTACAAAATCAATTTTATGGAAGTCAGTCTACTGTTCTATCATTTCAATGATCTTAACGATTACAGTTTACCTCATAACCAACTCTGAAGATCTAGTCATTGCCAAATTTACTATCAAGTGACGTTGTAAATTATAATACCTCGAATAAATTTTTATAACTACAATACTGTGTTGCGAAAGTATTCTTTTTTATTTAATCACTTCCTTAATTCTCATTTATTCTAAATAGACTTACCATGGGAAGTCCCATTTGAATCAGTGACCGATTTAGTATGGATCGGGTCTGGTGCACAAGGTGTGGTTTTTCGTGGTTGTTTTCGTGATGAATTGATCGCTGTGAAAAAAGTTAATAAACAGTCTGACACAGATATTCGTCATTTACGTTATTTAAACCATCCGAACGTTATTAAATTCAAGTAAAAATGACTTTTGTTTAGTTTTTCATTATTAAATATCCAATTGTTTTGTGATACAATCTGTCATTATTGTTTCTGGGAATATCTTCCTTCATATTTATGTTAAAGATTAAATGTAGCTTTAGTCACTGACTGAAGTCAGGAAGTCAACCATTAATAACACCAATTTAATGAGCAATTCATCAGTCACAACCTTCAACTCATTAAGTGCAGTATTTACTCTTAGTGAGATTGAAAACAGCACTACAATAAAGTACATTGCCATTGAGTTCAAATTTCAGTGATTGATAATTTCAAATTATTTAGTAGTTTATATCATGGACTGATCTTAGCAAGACAAATTTTGAAAACAAGGAAGCATTACACAACTGCTATTTTCTAGCATCAGACTTCCCAACAGTGCTCATCCATAACTTCACTCCAGGGGATTGAACCCAGAGCTGTCAGGTCTGTTGACGCGCGCTTAATCTTCAACCATTGATTTTGGGTCCAGTGGTTTACGTTTCTAACTGCAGTCCATCCGCTATTTCAGGTGACCATCCATTATCATCGGTGGATAACTGCTTCACGTGATTTTCCACTAGAACTTCTAGAAATTAGTCACTAGTGTGCGCAAATGATTAATATTAGTTTAGAGGATTTGTAGAGAATTTTAAATCTTGTGCTTTACATCACGAAATATTAGTATGAAGTAATTGGGTAATCTGTTGAAATCTAGGGGATGTCAAATTTTGTAATGATGCAGAACAATGGATAGTCGTTTTCTCCTAGTCTCGATAATTTCTCAGTATATTCAGCTTTATAACTCATTTTGCTGTCTTATCAGCTGGATGTACTTGCGCCCGTGTTGATTTTCGCTCCAGGTCTCAAACCCACTATCATTCTCTTCAAATACTCAACGCATTATCCACTTAGTTACAGAATTCGGATAGCCACTGACTTGTGCAACAGGATGACTTTTAAATAATTTATGTTGGTTATTTAAATCTTTCCATTGATGTTGGGGACTACAACTAATCAGTCCCTGGGTTCGTGTCCCTAAGAAAACATCAACTCTGGGATGTGGCAGGTATATCCATCTAACGAGTCATAAATTAAGGAATTTCCTGACGACTTGACAGCATGACCAATCAGCCCAAGAGATAATTGCTTGATGCAGGTCACACATAGCCTTTTTGCGAATAGTTCTTGATTTGTTAGCTCCATATTTTGCAAACTTTACCCCTGGGGACGTAAGTTCATTGAGCAAGGTTAACTATGCTATTTCTACGACTGATCTTTTCTTACTTCTTTTTTTTGTTGTGGAAAGATAAAATTGCTGCAAATACTGGTTGTCTGAGTAATACACTTCACTGCCATCACTACCCAGTATGGTCAGTAGTACGATTTCGCTCGCGAACCCTGAGTTGCTACTTTTAATCGTACCGTTTTCCAACTGATCTGCCTGGCACGATAGGACGTAAGGAAAAGAAATATTCTAGCAAATATTAGCTCAGTTTATTCATCACGAAATACAAGCCTTATCACCATGTAAAGGTACCGGGAACTGTTGCGACACTAAATGACTGCGGAAATCACATTTACAAAGTCAATACACAAGATTTCACTTAACCTCTCCTTACTATATTATATCTGAAGACTTAATATCTTCTACAATATCATTACAAATTATTCGTATTTTTCATACATTTTCCGTATAATTAATTGGTTAATTCTAGAGGAGTTTGTGTGGAACAACCGTGTTACTGTATACTTATGGAATATTGTCCATATGGTCAGTTGTATGAAATAATACACTCAGGCAACCCTATATCACCATCTTTGATTTGTTCATGGGTTAAACAGATCGCCAATGGAATGCATTATTTACATTCATGTAAAATAATTCACAGAGATCTCAAATCACCAAAGTAAGTTTTACAGAATAAGCCTCTGTTATACTCTGTATCTATGTTTCACTTCGATTGTAATAATGAGGTAGTAAATCGTCATCAACTCAGATGGTTAGCATATGTGTTGCGTATGCCTAATCACCGCCTACCTCGACAGACGATGTTTTTTAGTGCAGGAGTAGGTTGGATGAAAGCTAGGGCCGATAAAACCAACAGCCTATAAAGTCGTTGATCATTGGACTGAGCCATGTTAACAGGTGTAGATTAATCGGTTGTGGTTCACATAATTATCACAACAAATGGTTGGAGACTTTGAATGACATGGCCCAAAATTGCTTGCAATGACCCAGGTGCATCCACTCTCCATCTTTCCTTAGATCCTAAGCTTCTGAATTCCTCAGAATTGTTTAATTCACTAATTCTTTTTGAGTCGCATCTTTGGTGCCTAATCTTTTCTATTACCACTAATACCGTTACTACCTCTATTACTCTGTAGTTTCCCCCAACAATCCTGAAGTAACATTTTATATTTGAGGGTGAAAACCGCATCGCAAACCTACTTGCGTTGTTGCCTAAAGTGGTTAGAAGACTTCATTTAATCAACGTCTTCACCAAGCAGAACTATATCATCTTCGTATTCTTAGTCAACAATTGAATCTAGTGGTAGAGGATGAACACAATGAGTGTGAAGGAATCTAAGAAGTGTGATAGTAGTGATAATGAGATAGATTAAGGATTAGATGTATCTTACGAAAAATTAGAATTGAAATGTATGTGTAATGGAGCAATGATTTGAAGACATATGTTTTAAAATATGCAGCCTACGCTTATACTTTCACAAACCACGTATCCTAATATACATTACTATAATCATGATAAATATTTCTCAAATGTTGTTGCACAATATTTTCTATCTTTCAGTGTTTTAATCGGTTATAATCACGTATTAAAAATATCCGATTTTGGTGCATCTCGTGAATGGACAGAGAATTCTACTAAAATGTCATTTACTGGCACTGTAGCTTGGATGGCACCTGAAGTAATACGTAATGAACCTTGTTCATTTAAAGTTGATGTATGGTAAGTTGTTTCCTTATTTTGAGGATTAAATATGAGAAAAGGATATACTTTATTTTAGGTATCTATCATCTGTACTTAATAGTGTGTATGTACATTTAAATAACTGTTATAGGGCTTATAAGGTAATATGTATTGTTAAGTCTTGATGAATACGATTATTTTTATTAGGGTTACCGTTTGCTCCAAACGATATTTACTAATTAAAGAACGATTAAGCTATTCTAATGCAGATGATTTTATTGTAGACTTGATGACTGATTTGTCAAGTAGACCCAAAGATGAAATCTTATTTTATGAAAGGTGTTGGGCGACCCAAAGAATTCCTTAAAAAGAAGTCCGGAGGGGCCCTTAAAACTCAGGGGAACATTTAAACCAATCAACGTGTAGTAGAAGTCCCTCAAAAACATCTACAAGCTGAAGAGTCGCATTTCTGATTGGGTGATTACTTGTCCTGTTACTATATTCAGAAAATGAACGGACCTACAGTACTGGAAACCAATCAGAAACGGGTAAAGGTTACGCGAAAAGTTGAATTAGAAATAAAAATACTTACAGTTATCATTTCTTGCAAGATTTTAACATTATTAGCAAAAATGGAATTTTCCCATGATTGCCTGAGGATAGCTATATATAATGGATGTAATATGTTTCTCTTTATTAAAGTCTATCCTGGTATGTAGCAGTCTAAAAACTCCTTCAACATCTCGTTAACACATATCTTCCCACAAACTGTAGGGTGCATTGTGCGTCGTTACCTGAGATCATATTCTATGTCTGTACTGAAACTGGGTAGTTTAAACTAATAGGTTCTTTTCTTTTTATCAGAAGGGGTTTTTGTGGAGATTTTAGTAATTTCAATAGTTGAAATCATGAGAAATGTATGTTACCTGTCATTCATTCGGTTATAATTCCTAACGTATTCGATAATGCTTAATATTTACAGTTAATCAATGAAATAATCACGAGTATTTGTCCCGGTCTAATTTTACTTCAAGGTCTTATGGTGTACTTTTATGGGAGTTATTAACCGGTGAAATTCCATATCATAATGTTGATTCAACTGCGATTCTATGGGGTGTTGGCAGCGAAAATCTTCGTTTACCAGTTCCAGTGACATGTCCTTCAGAATTACGTGTACTTATGAAAACATGTTGGTAAGTAAATGGTGGGGGGTACTTTTGTTTTTCAAATTATGGACCTTCTAAATGCAGTTTTGGTAGGTTGCTCTGCTGATACATACACTTAAACTATCTTCATGGCCGATTCCGGTAATCTCAAACTACTACGTATTAACTGGAACACTAGAAAGAAGGAGCAGATTTCGAGTAAAAGCTTTACTCTAAAGTTAGTCGATGTACAGAAAAACGAAGATATTTATGAGGTCGCACACGAACTTGGGACTGGGAATTTCTGGAACTATAATAAGTATAGTAGCAGTATAGGTAAATATCCAATCAAAATTGTGGCGCGGGATTCTGTATTTTCTAGATATTTTTGCGAAGATTCTATTCAAGGCTGATTGGATAAAATTTTTATTGGTGTTTCTGGGCCTCTAGAGACTTTGACAAATGATATTTTAGGAGCTCCTCCAACAGTCTCGTTTAAAAGTTTTCAAATGAGATCAGTTTTTGGACGACTCAAGTCAAAAAGACGCATAAAATTGACATGTTTTTTTGTTAATAATCCTATAATATCGATTAACGTCATTTGAGATAAGATTGTAATTTTCTTTCTATAAACTTTCCCACCAAATACTCTTCTGAGCAGAAAACATGAGAAAAGCATTCATGATACAGAATGATCACAAATCCAGCGTATCGTATTTACAATTCTCATAATTACAAGTTTATGCTTCTTCAATAATATTATTTATAAATTGTTTATTCTGGTTAGCATTTTTTTAGCAAGGTTGTTTTATATAGGATGGGTTTGCTGACCCACATGCCCAACCCTCTTTTTTTACCCGGGCTTGGGGCCGGCAGTAATCATAGAAGAGCTACCTGGGGAGTTCATAAGTTGTATTAATTTAATTAATTCTCTTTAGTTGACAATAAAAAAGAAATTACCCTTTTTAATTATGGTGAATGAAGCTCAATGAGTTGTGTGTGTGTGTGTGTGTTATGTGTGTTTTTAATTGAAAAAATTGCCAAGACCAGAAAAGTGTTTCACATTATGAAAACTATCAGATTGTTATTTTGTTATTACTGGTAGACAGTAGGATTTTGTTGCTTGAATTAGATATTTTTTTGTGATATAGAACTTTGATTTAGTCAGTGAGTCAGTCAGCTACAACGTAGGACCAGGAACATATATGCGTCGGTACAAGTTGCCACACCTCACTCATTAGCACAACAAGATGAACACCAAATTCATAGAAATAGTTAACTCAATGGTAGTAATATATAAAAGAAAGATTGCATATAAGAGTATAGTACAGGAGGAAAGAATTAGTTCGTAGGAAGAAAAGTATAAAGTAATTTTAATCTTATAGTTTAAGGGAAGACACAGAGTGTATACACCTACGCAATTGTGAGACATGTCACACACAGTCTCCATTCATTAGTTACGATAGTCACACCGACCACAACCACGTAGCCTGTATCTAACATCATTGTCTCAGACCAGAAGTTAGTGACTTTATGGTCTGATGCCACGTTTTGGTTTGGCCACTCCCGTCTAACTGTCTTCCAACCATCCCTAACACTGGTCGGTATTGCGCGTCGTGGTAATCGGTGTTCAGGTATACGTAACGCGTGACCCAACAATCTCAGTCGGTGAAGATTCACAACCTCATCAACTCGTTTACCATCATTCTCTAATACACTGCGTCTAACCTCAGTATTACTTACCCGATGACCCCAGCAAATACGAGCAATATTTCTAAGACATCCGTGATCAAATACTAGCAACTTACAGGTATCTCCTACTCTTAATGGCCATGTTTCGCAGCCGTAAAGTATGCTTTGAATTTGTGTACAAAATAAGTCATAGAGTTTTGACACTTCTATGTATATCTTATTATTATTTATTTTTATTCCTATGGAGTAGGTTACATTGATTGTTTTTAAATGTGCTTACGAAGAAATACCGTGGCTTGGTTCTTTATTTTATGGCTAATGAAAGTAATATGTAATCAACTATTGAGTGTAAATAGACAGATACTCAATTTACTGTTAAATATGTGATTCCTCTCATACTATTGATATCTACTCTAAACACATTGAGTGTAGGCTGTTTTGTAATTGCTTTAAATAAAGTATTATCTTGTTGTATATTCTAGTTCACTATATTCGGTTGTGGATCTTGTATCTAGTATAAGATGATACTGAGCTGTGTATAGCATGTCGATCGAGTATCCAGTCTAATGGAAGCAAATGAGATCTTGTTCACGGATCGGATCATCGTACAATAAGTGTGAGAATGGCCCCCGGATGAACTGTAAAAACCTCAGAAAAAGCCGGAGGCATTCCATCCAATCGTCTTTTGGAAGAACGTTCCAGAATTTCGACGTGGAGTTTCCCTACAAGACAAAAGTTAAAATCCACTGCACGTGGATTGGATGACTGTAATAATGATTTCACTTTTACTAGATACTATAAATACCTGAGAGTTTTGTACCATATTTGACACTGTTTGGGATAACATTCCTTCTCACTAGTCTTCTGTGTTCTCAATTTTGACTTGAATAGTTCTAACGTTCCAGTGCTCAAGTAGTACGCGGTATAACAAGAAAATCTAAACTCTAGATATAACAAATAGCGTATCGTGCCAAACAGAAAATATTTTTATTTTCCAGTTTTACCAGTCCTGTAAAGGAGAAAATAACAGTATGTCAATGTGTAACTTCAGTATCACTTATAGACTATGTTCAGTTCCTATGCACATTATGTGCCTGGTTCTTCTGCTACTCACTTTTTTATCTCTGTACGGATTAATGTAGTGATTTTTCGGTTTTCAGTCTCTTTGCTTCGAACAGTGCACTAATTGTTTTTGTCTACCGTATTTGCTCTCCTTCAGCTTTATATTGTCGTTTCCACTTTCATTTTGTATTCACATTTTACCTATCTACCCCTATTTACTGCTAACCACCTAGGTAACTTATCTGTACCATCTTTTTATCAGTCATCAAAAATATCCACCTATACATCACGTAGTCATTAACTACCGATTACGTGAATTTGGGCAAGACTGTCTCTTGTTTTTGTTGTACATTTTCCTAGATTTCGAACATGTTCTGGTGTATACCGAACTTGTATTTCAATGTCGTGGGGACGACCTTTGAGTGACGCTAAAGTGACCTTGAGAATGTCCACCTATTAATCAGTACTAAACGACAGTTATAAACCAATACGAAGAATTAGACTTATGATTTACGGCTAACGGTTTGGGTTAGGAATCAGATTTAGGGTTTTCATCACGAACTGACATCAGCTATAATACCAAGACTCTATTTAGCCAAATGGGTGAATGAATTTCGTGCCAACATCCAAGACACTTTATCCAAAATTTGACTATTTTGTCCATAAATTATGGTCTCACATCAGTGGCTATTAAATTTCTCATCTTAAACTACTGATTAAACATATATATAGGCAAAATTTGACCAGACCTTTTGTGTGTTTCAATCAAATAGAATAAGTTTGGCTAAATGTAGCTAAGTGGATAACGCGATGGCGTTTGAAGCGAACGACACTAGGTTCGAGTCCCAAAGTGAACATCAACTCCATGATGCAAGTACACCCAGCTGACGAGTCACAAATAGGACGAAACTCACGTCAAATTGGATTCCACTACTGGCCACTATCCATTTTTACTTAAAAAGCTTGTGACTTAAAACTATATCAAGGCAATCCGCACAGGATGTACATATGCCTGATCAATCACAGTTTCAAATAACAATGAGAAGATACAACTAAAACAATATCAAGTGAATTTAAAAGTGCTTTTCCAGCTTATATGCTTAAAACTTACATTTGATTGTCTAATTTTTCTCCCGTATTTTTCTTATCCGACAATGATGTAATACATTCAAATAGAAATTCTATGTTTTATTAATCCTTTTTCTTTTTCTCTTTTATTTAATGAATGTGGTAATTCAGTTGTCATCTTACCTCATAACATACCGATATTTTATATTGTAAAACAATTTTTGGGTTTTACTTAACTAATTAAATAGGCGTTTCCTTTGTTTTTCTTGTTTTTTTCCTAAAGAGGATTGACTATCTTAGTCATTATTGTTTATTTTGATTAATTATTTGTCAAAGTATATTATTTAGCCCTGAAAGTTAGTTAGGGAGCATTAGAATTCTTGTTTTGTATTCTACATCTATGTTCTATATTGAATTACAGGACTTTTAAGTTTTATTCAACTATCCTTTTTTTGTTTCTCAGTTTGTTACTAACTGTTATTCCTTGCAGATTACTCAAAACTCAAATTCCATCTTACTTAATTTAGTTTTAGCCTATCTTGGCACGTGATGTTGACTAGTGTAGGAATAGATTGGAAGTAGAAAACTTATGGGGTGGTCAAACTAAGACTTAAAAGTTCACAAATTCATTTAAGGTTAGATTGAGCCATGTGGGTGGATCCAGACTACGTGGTTGAGTTCCTCGCAGTTGTCGTAATTAGTATTTGGAGACGTTGGATAATTTAGCTCAGAATCAGTTACAATAGGGGTGGTGTGTTCACTTTTTTTTACCCGTAGATCTTAAGTTTCAATATTATCTTTTCTTTTTTATTCCATGAACTCATTCCTCTGGAATCATATTCCCATTAGCACCACTGATACAGTTACTACTACTCCGAGGTTTGTCTTAGTGCATTTATATGGTGCAGCAATTTGAACTGATGTACAAATGTTCCAGGTTCTTTATTGCATATGACTAACTAATTGACACCGTTCAATCAACACAGGATTACAACTTTATGTCACTAAAATGAACATTTTTATGAGATTCTTTCAGAATTAGTAATTATACTGAGAGATGGATTTTATCGGTAAAAAGCTTGGTTCTACCTAGTGAACGTTCATACTAAATGATTAGGCAGATACTTTGTCCTCTTTTGTTCATATTTTCTCCGATCAGTTTCACCTTTTTATACATATTTTTTATATACTGCTAAACTCTATGGTTTTGTATATAGCAAAAAACT